AAACAAAATGGGATAACAATAAGGCAACAGATTGAACGATAAATAACAGAGTTCTCATGGGGGCACTATCTACTTCGCACAATGCTCACTTCACTTGGGCGTGACTCCTTTCGTTTGGGCGTTGCTCACTTCATTTGGGCGTTGCTCACTTCATTTGGGCGTTGCTCACTTCATTTGGGCGTTGCTCCCTCACTTGGGCGTTGCTCCCTCACTTGGGCGTTGCTCCCTCACTTGGGCGTTGCTCACTTCATTTGGGCGTTGCTCACTTCATTTGGGCGTTGCTCCCTTACTTGGGCGTTGCTCACTTCATTTGGGCGTTGCTCCCTTACTTGGGCGTTGCTCACTTCATTTGGGCGTTACTCACTTCACTTGTGTACGATTGTCATTGTCGTCGTCATCCCCGGTGTGGATAGGTTCCTTCTTCTTCGATACACAAGCTCCCTATAGTACGTCAACGAGGAGATTTAAAAGGCAGGTCTGCAGCTGAATAAAACGGTAAGATCTTGCTTTTAAACGAGTTCACTGAAAATACCTTCTTGAAACGTCTTGTTGGCTGCAGCAATTGCCTTCAACTCTTGCTCAGACCACTCTCTCTGCACTCCATCAAAGCGTGCGTCACCTATGGCCTCATCTAATAGTTCTTTAAGGCGTCGTTAGAACAACGCGGCAATCAAATAGAAAAAGAAGAACCTCCGTAGTATTCCCATCTGGATTGATGTGTACGCAACTCTATCGGAACCCCCCCATACCCTGGTTTGGTCATATGGGTTTTCGGCGAGTCCTTGAGCCGTTGCTCTCTAATTTTCGCATTCATTGCCAATCCTTCTCTGATCGACGCCTCTTTCATTTCCTTGAGTCGAATTGCAAAGTCTTCCTTGGACTCGTGCATTTTTGATTGGTAAAAAGCATTTTGTCCCCTTGTGTGATACGTCTCTTCATACAAGTCCGTCCATATTCTCCTCGTTGTTGAATCAGGTGGTCCAGGAGTGGTGGGCGGACGTGAGGATTGGCCCCTACTTACTGTTGCTTCAAGAAGAAGATAGGCTAGCTGGGAGAAATTACGCACTGGATAGAAGAAGAAGGAATGTGATCCATCTCCCTGTCGTCATCCGATATCCTGGTATAGGAAGTTAGCAAGTTTCAAAAAAGGTCAGGAAGGGATGGATTTACGCACGCAGTTTCTGTATTGGTATCTCGCGAAGGAGGAGCATCCTCCGGAGAGAGGTTCGCCTGTCTAACCAGCAGGGGATCAGTAAAAGGATCGGTGAGCCAGGAAATGAGATGCCTAGTGGGGGGATTTGGCGCCGGCGCGTGAAGGAGGAAGCATCGGGCGGAGAATGCGCTGAGGGAGATACATCCACCACAGCTCCCTCAACTTGGCTGGATCAGGTATTTAGCAGAATGTCGGAATCTTTGGACAGATGACACACCTCTGAGAAGCTCTGTCCAGTGTTGTTAATCTCCGATCTTTCAGATGTTCATCGTTGTCGGATCTAGCCCCCCAGCTTTAGTACGAACGAAAAAAAAACTAAACTGTAAGAAATAGACGTGCCTTGGAACAGCAGCGCCACGATGACCCCGAGTAGATGATGCCTCTGTTGTTTTCTCCTCTTCACTTCGTGTCGTCGCATTCAACGTGCCACCGACTCTATCGGAAGCTCTCGCCGAAGTTCTGCTACGTGTCGTCACAGAGGGACCTGGGCTGGTAAGGAAAAAGTCGGTAAGACTATCAATGAATAAAGAGATAATCACACACTTCGGGACGGCAATTCGACGTGGTCTCCGAGACATTAAGAAGGGATTGACGAGTGGCGAGCTGCGCAGATGGTGGTTGAAACGAAAGAGTTAAGATGAAAGAGACGCTAGAGCGGGCCGATTAGACGCCATCAGAACCGATTAACTTTATCGCCACGATACGCAGTAACCAACCACCATCATGGGCAAGACTGTAGCTACGGCCTTCACCACCGAACATTCGGGACTTCTCTGGAGAGCCTGTCCTCATACGTGCTGCCACACTGAACCGAAAAACAATCCTGGCGCTTGGATGCCTAATCACTGTTACATTTTTCCGGTTGGTATCAACGCTAGAGCTTCAGATCACCTAAGCCCCAAAACGACAACTCATTCTTGCGGGGGAGTTTGTCCTGATATCCACTCACTCCGACCGGCCACACTAGCCGAAGGCATTCGTGCTACCATTCTTTGGGCACAGAGCTTGGGTCGCCTTGAAATCGACAGCATTGGAAATGAATCGGCCAGAAAATGGGTCAGTGCCATTGGGGCTGAAGAAAATTCAGGTGGGGGAAAGCTCAAAGGAGTCTGGCTTGAGCTGTGGAGGGCGGCTGTTGAGCCAACTTTCCCGGTGTTGTTCCAGTCGCCTCGCACAGACGGCGCCATCGGTCCTGACGGTCGGTGTCAATATCCAGATCTACCGACACACTTGAACACTTCTGTGCGACCGTTTGATCTGGCTGCCGCTGAAGACTGTAGAGTTGCTATCGATGGAGGTACATTGCCTGGAACTCCGCGCCTTCTCATTGATCCCGACGCGTTAGGAGCTGTACCCTTTAATTCGCATTCCAATCCTACAGGCCAACCAAGTTCAGTGGCTGATGCATTACCTTCCGACAGATTCTTTTGGATCGAGGGAACCCAGGGATTTGATAAAAATGCCGGATTGTTTGCTCGCAAGCCTGCGTCTTTTCCTCGGGCTATTTCTGTCATTGTTACACCCGTGGAACTAGCCGACGCTCCGTTGAAAAATCGCACAAAAGCTCAGGATATGGCTTCGTCCAACTTTTACTGGACGTATACTCTGTTTGATTTGTCTGTGACTAGACATGCACAATTTTACCAGATGTGGGCGTGTTCAGAGTTGCTTCAGCGACTCTACTATTTCGATGTCAAGGAATCTAGGAAATTCTGTTATTTGTACCTACATGAATGGGTAAGGCTCTTGGGGATCTTATTCATCACGCTGTGCTGAGTCTCACTACATAAAAATAGGCGATGTTGCCGTTACTTTTCTGGCAAAAGGGAGCTCACGTTAATTTCATTCACAACGATGACTTTCTCCGCTTGTTGGAAGACAGAGAGAACCATCCGGAATGGAGCACGGTTCAAGCAAGCCAACTTGTTATTGGCCGGGTTTTTATTCCTCCCCCTTCGTAAGTCCTAGGCCGTTCTTGATCTTCCCATGATTCTAAACGTTTGTAGCGAGGGAGACCCCACAGAATTCAACCAGTCGCATAAACATAATCCCAATCCCCATCAGCTTGAAACTTTTGAGATACTGGGAGGCCTGGGACCGAGATTCTGGCCCCACCCTGCTTGTGATGTAGTGACGCAACAAAAGCTTCGAATGCAGATTATACTGTCCCAATCGGTAACGGAAGCTGGTGGGTTTGGTGAGCGTCCATTCCAGATCTATTCCGTCGCAGAGGGGCTAGACGCTCTGAAAGAGGGCTGGGTTCTCAAAATGGAACACGGAGCAGATGCGAGGTATGTCTTTAAGACGAACGACGAAGAAACCCGGGAGCGATTCCGCAATATCTTTGATCTACTGGGAGCTCCAGCGGACCCCGCTATCCCGAAGAGGGTGTTTTTCACGATGAAATTCAACCCAAGTATTATAGCGCTGGGCGAAGTCCGGGTATTCATATGTTTCGGAACAATAGTCCAGGCATACCACACCATTCCATTCCCCCGCCCCGATGAAAAACATCTCCCACCAGAAAAATACAGCTACTGGAGAGCTCAACCGGCGTATGGGCGCCTTGCTTCCCTCAGTAAAATAAAGTAAGCCATTGGATGCCTTCTTACTATTGGAGTTGATGTGTATTTCTACAATCCAGAATCTGGGACGGACAGGACCCAGCGCCTACCTCGGCAAGTGGGAGAGACGATGAGCTTTGGTTTTCCAACAGCTCCGCTTACTCGATGGAAGGAACAGAGGAGCTTTATAAGTTTGTTTTCCACGTTTACGAGGATGTTATCGAACGGGAGGAAAATGTCTTTAAACGACTTACGAATGGGGTGCCTGGAGCTGCAAGTCTTCGAGCGTTTTGTCGAATTGACGTAGGGTTAGTCCTGAAAGAGGGTAAGTATTTGTACGTGGTCAATGAGGTTCAAGAAGGGCAATGTGGTCTATTCATGTTGGATAACGCTCAGTTCATAGTTCCGAACGGCTTCATCGAGGGTTACCTGCGGGGAGTTTTTGAGAAATGATTTTCCTGAATTGTGTGTTGTAATCACATTGTATTTTGCCTTAAATGAGCATTGAATTCTCCAGAAGACTGCTGTTGGCCATCTTTACTTGGAGCAGGAGAGGAATAAAGGTCGGTTAAGACAAGAATGAGATCAATGGATAGTAAAACACACGGTAGAAAGAATATTCCATTCCGAAATATCGGACTATTAGAATCTTTAGTCATTTGGTCCAATGCATCCACAGGATCTGACTATTCTTCAGTAGAATTCACAGGCCGGGGGGTTAAGTACCCATTTGACGCGATATGAGACAAGTAGGCTATAGCACCAGGGCACAGAGTAACGCCGATCTGATCATAATTGATGGCAGTTCAATTAGATTGATCACATCCGGAGATCCACGAAGAGGTACTCGAGTCGTATAAGTGTGCCTGTCAGAGTTTCGTGAATCTGTGCATGTCCACGACATGCTCCACGTATAGGATCCGCACATTGGGTGAAGATGCGGGGAGATCGCATCCTGTCGGAATTTGATAGAAGTCGAGTACACAATACAGGGCACATCGTGGACATGCATATATGCATTGGACTATAGATCAACTGATCTGTCCAATGATAAGACTTTACACACATCGCACGTCGTGGACGTGCATGGATCCATGCAAGGCAATAAAAGATCCATGCATAGATGAGTAGGAGTGATAGCATACGCAGGGAACGTCATGGACATGCACGGGGTCATGAAACACCAAACGAATCAAACAAAAAATCAATAAAGGTAAGAGACAAGGCCAGAGAGGGAATCGAACCCCGGCCTATCGGGTATTTTGCCAAATTGTCATGTGCCACTAGACTATCTGGCCATGACTGCAACCTAAGCTATACTAACGTATGCTAAAAAAGCACTTATTAGCATACACAAGCATACGCTGTGTACGCACTTGGACAGATCAGTTGATCTATCTTCAAAGCATCCGTGCATGTCCACGGTGTGCCCATACCACTTGCTTTCCTCATTTCAACCTTCAGTACACTTTCATACGGTAGAGTGCACAGGGCACTTTGTGCACGAATGGACGGGAGTGAGAGCATACACAGGGCGCATCATGATACCAATTCAGTCCCAGTGTGTTCACGTATTCATGCACGTCGCCGACGTGCGGTGTGTACACTATCTGAAAAATACACAGTACAAAGAATATTTTATTGCGAAAGATCCGAATATTAGAATCTTTAGCCGTTTGGCCCAACGCATCCACTGGTCCTGACGATCCTTCAGCACCATTCACAGGCCGGGGGGCTTAGTACCCATTCGACGGGATACAAGACAAGTAGGCCATAGCACCAGGGCACAGAGTAACGCCGATCTGATCTTGATTGATGAAAATCCAATTAGATTGATTGCATCATGAGATTCTGAAGACCTTTGGAGTTCTGTCGTGGACAGTAGTAGTATAAGTAGTTCGTATATTACTTGAAGTAGTACTGGTAGCACGGGGCCGCTAACATTGTTAGCGGATGCACGGCTAGCAGTGCAGTAGTAGGATAAGCAGTTACTAGTTAGTTAGTGTACATGTCTTGATTGTGCACAGATGAGGGGGAGGATAGCGCACGTCGTATACTATTAGCCATGCGTCTGCAATGTTAGCGTCCCGGGGCTACCAGTACTACTTACTACCTGAAACTACTCATACTACTAACTATACTACTCCCACGGCAGCCTGCGGTGCATCGGAGCGGCTCCGACCTAGTAACCCAACCCAGTACTACAAGTAACTGGTATACTAACTAAATAATTATAAGTTTTCCCCGTTTCCTCCGTCTGATACCGAGTCTACGCTACCGGCTCTGGGTACTCGACCGCAGCGCTTCCGCTTCTACTTGCAGCTTGTTCTTTTCTTTTGTCAAGTTCTACCTCGCTCAGTCTGGGCTTTGTGGAACCAGTGAGACCTATTCCTGGTTCTTCCCCATCCACACAACGTGGGACCGGATGTCTAGCAAAGCCGGGCCTCCGCTCATCCCCATGGGTGTAGCCTTTATCGCGCTTGACTTTTTGTTTCTTCGAGGGCTGGGGTTAATGTTACAATTTTTTCAGGAAGCTAATAGTTGTTTTGCAGGCAGAGTACATCCCGGTCCTTCCACCCCGAACTCAGATATTTGGTGAGTTGCCTCTCCTGCCAACAGGTTTCCTCGAAATCGGCGCACTGAGATCTTGAGTCTACGCAGAAATGTATTGGGGCGTAGCCCTTATTTTTGAGTCCTGGCGGTGGGGGATAACCTTCTGTGTCTTTCGAAATACTGATTGAATTTACAGATATTTTGCTCACCTTTCGCAATACTCCTCTCTCTACACTCCTGCAACTGTAAGTCTTACCCTTGATGCCTACTATTATACTTGACCCAAGTATTATAATACTCGGTTTTTTAGGGGTTTTTTTTTTGCGAACAACCGCTGCGTCTTTGACAATCAAACTGGCCACAAAAATTATATGGGCGTGCTCCCAGACATCGGAAGTACCAGAGGTCAAGGAGCTTTGGGCCGGTACGGCCCAAAGCTCTGCTCCACGGGCTGTTCTTTCAGATGCACATTTTTTAGTACCCTCAAAGGTGTTCTTGTCTATATTGTGCTCTACAATGTCAAGAGCTGTGTGTCTCTGCGGTGAAAGTTGTTGCCAAGGCCTCTAGGAGTGTATCGGTAGTATACTTGGTAAGGTCAATGGCAATATTGACGTGTGCATTGCCTGAATTATACTCAATACCGAAAAAAACTACATGCTGGTATTCAACAGCCTGCACTCAGCCCTGCCTGACCCTTAAAATAATGCAGCTGTTATCAGTCGCTTTCTAGCCTCCTACTGAGCATATTTGTCTCCAAGAATCAACAGCTGAGAGCGCTGGGCTCTATACACGGTGACATTATATCCGGGGTTTGGTGAAATACTCCCGAAAAACTCTGCGACCAGTAGCGACCTACACAGAACAGCTTGGGCTTAGGTCAAAGTACGCCAAAGGGCCCTGGGTAGTATTCAAACACTTTTGCCTGTCAACTTGGCCAGCGGTTTTTCTTCCTGGCTCGTTAAATGCCTTTATATTCTCAGAGTCATAATTTTTTGCTCTATTATCCCCTTCTTCTCAAGCCCTATACCAGCTTACCAAGAACAGCTGCCCACTAACTTTTGGCTAACCGAATGTTCATTTTCATTGCTAAAACAACTTCCATTACTTTGATTTCCCCCGGTTTGAAGGGTGCCCCCAAAAATCAACAATATATCTGGGCTGCTTGGGAAGATTGTACTACGGTTATAAAGGTTTATCCTTAGGGTTAACCCACCAAGATTAATCAAACAACCTGAAGATATCCCATGACTTAGGGTCTGGCCCGCCGAAGGCGGTGCCAGACATGACCCAAGGTTGATTTGCCTTGGAATTTAGCATCGTTGTACCAGTTTGGTTTTCCACGTGCGGGTCACGTGAAAGGCACTTATTCATCCAGTAGGTGGATCGTCCTCCATCTCTGTGAGAATTTTGATTTACCAACTCATAATTCACAGTAGATTTTTCTCTGGATTAAAAAAGCGCGCTCATAGAGCCTGCTTGGAAGTTGAGCCCAAAGCATCTTGATAAAAATGGTTGAATAAACGAAATGCCGCTGCACCATCAGGCCATGGATAAGAGCACCCATGTCTTTCTTTAACAATCACATTCCAAAAATTTATTTGGCGGCATATGATTGTGAGTAAATGATAGATATTCCTAAAAAGGAATGGTTTCTTGTTGGTTACCTAATGGGGTAATGATGTCATTGTCATTCAAACCAAAATCCCATAGGCTGATGTTAGTTTAACTTGGAGCTCGTTTCACCTGCCCATCTCTAAGCAAGAGCCATAAGATGATCTATATCAGACCCAGATTGTCCTAGGCAGACCACTGCCAAGTAATCTTCCCACAACGCTGGAATCATGTTGCCACTGTCTAATAGAGCTTTGGATTGTCTGTCTAAAACATTGGCCTTGAAGAAGCTGGATACACTTAAAAGGCCCAGGGACGGTGCCAAACAAATTTGATATTTATCACGTGAGACCTGATGAGCCATAACCATGCCCTGCCATGGTTTTGATTATCACGTGAGACCTGATGAGCCATAACCATGCCCTGCCACGGTTTTGAATATCACGTGAGACTTGATGAGCCATAACCATGCCCTGCCACGGTTTTGGTTATCACGTGAGACCTGATAATCTTTTTCCCCTGCTGCGCCTTCTTTCCTCTTATTGATTTACAGTGTTCATCTTGAAGAACATCAAAGGAGGAATTGAACCCCCGCCTGTTTGGTAGGAGTGTACTAGAATTAGCAAGTTGTCATTTACCACTAGACTATCTGGCCATGACTACGACCCATGTTGACCTCCCAACCCATCCATATTTTTCTTGTGATATAAAAAAAAACTGGCCGTCATATATGATCACAAGTGAAATATCTACTTAGAGCCTGCTTGGGAGTCGAACCCAAAGCATCTTGATAAGATGAGTTGAATGAACGAAATGCCGCTGCACCATCAGGCCATGGATAAGAGCACCCATATCTTTTCTTTAACAATCACATTCAAAGAATTTATTTGGCAGCATATGATTGTGAGTAAATGATAGATATTTCTAAAAAAGAATGGTTTCTTGTTGGTTACCTAATGGGGTAATGATGTCATTGTCATCCAAACCAAAATCCCATAGGCTGATGTTAGTTTAACTTGCAGCTCCTTTCACCTGCCCATCTCTAAGCAAGAGAGATGAGCCGATCTATATTAGACCCAGATTGCCCTAAGCAGACCACTGCCAAGTAATCTTCCCACAACGCTGGAATCATGTTGCCACTGTCTAATAGAGCTTTGGATTGTCTGTCTAAAACATTGGCCTTGAAGTAGCTGGATACACTTAAAAGGCCCAGGGACGGTGCCAAACAAATTTGATATTTATCACGTGAGACCTGATGAGCCATAACCATGCCCTGCCATGGTTTTGATTATCACGTGAGACCTGATGAGCCATAACCATGCCCTGCCACGGTTTTGAATATCACGTGAGACCTGATGAGCCATAACTATGCCCTGCCACGGTTTCGATTATCACGTGAGACCTGATAATCTTTTTCCCCTGCTGCGCCTTCTTTCCTCTTATTGATTTACAGTGTTCATCTTGAAGAACATCAAAGGAGGAATTGAACCCCCGCCTGTTTGGTAGGAGTGTACTAGAATTAGCAAGTTGTCATTTACCACTAGACTATCTGGCCATGACTACGACCCATGTTGACCTCCCAACCCATCCATATTTTTCTTGTGATATAAAAAAAAACTGGCCGTCATATATGATCACAAGTGAAATATCTACTTAGAGCCTGCTTGGGAGTCGAACCCAAAGCATCTTGATAAGATGAGTTGAATGAACGAAATGCCGCTGCACCATCAGGCCATGGATAAGAGCACCCATATCTTTTCTTTAACAATCACATTCAAAGAATTTATTTGGCGGCATATGATTGTGAGTAAATGATAGATATTCCTAAAAAGGAATGGTTTCTTGTTGGTTACCTAATGGGGTAATGATGTCATTGTCATTCAAATCAAAATCCCATAGGCTGATGTTAGTTTAACTTGGAGCTCGTTTCACCTGCCCATCTCTAAGCAAGAGCAATAAGCTGATCTATATCAGACCCAGATTGTCCTAGGCAGACCACTGCCAAGTAATCTTCCCACAACGCTGGAATCATGTTGCCACTGTCTAATAGAGCTTTGGATTGTCTGTCTAAAACATTGGCCTTGAAGTAGCTGGATACACTTAAAAGGCCCAGGGACGGTGCCAAACAAATTTG